CGTTTTCAGGATGCACGATACGTCTCCGCTCCAGAAGCAGTATGGCGAATTTTTAGCTTTTCTCTAATCAAATCCACCCTAATGTGATCACTTTGCAATTGCATCTTCCAAACCAACAGTTGGTTAGGTTCACTGATGATGATGCAATGAAATCAGTTGTTGAGAGGGAGAAAGATAAGAGATCAATGTTGACTGCATTTTTCAAGATGAATAAAGATAACGTTAATGCAAGAGAATATTTATACAAAGATTTTCCCAAACACTTCACATGGAATAAAGAATCGCGTCTATGGAATCCTCGAAAAGTATCACGAGCAGTTGGTCGTTTGGTTTCTGCAAATCCTGCTGAAGGTGAGCGATACTATCTACGTGTGTTATTATGTCATGTTAGGGGTCCTACATGTTTTGAAGATCTGTACACAGTCAATAACGTAAGACATCCCACATTTCGAAAAGCGGCTCTTGAAAGAGGGTTAATAGAGACAGATGATAGTTTATCGCAGTGTCTTGTAGAGGCCTCCTTGTTTCAGTTTCCAAATGCTCTCAGAAGGTTGTTTGCAACGATATTAGTTTTTGTGATCCTGGAGATGTTCGCAAGATATGGAATTCCCACTACAATTCTCTCTCCGAAGATTATAGTAGACAATACGATAATGTCAATCGAGTACAAAATATGGTCCTTACAGACATAAGCGTATTCCTACAGTCTATGGGTAACAAGCTTGATAACTTTGATCTCCCGACTGTAAACACCGATTTGAATTTTCAGTCTGGAGTTTTTCGAGAGGTACAAGAAGAATGCTCTATAATTGTGGAAGATGACCATTTGCGTGCCAAAGAGTTTCTCAATCCTGAACAAAAATATGCATATGATGAGATCATGAGGCATGTGTGTACTGATTGTACAGGAGTGTTCTTCATAGATGGTCCTGGCGGAACAGGAAAAACATATCTGTACAAAGCTTTACTTGCTAATATACGCAAACTTGGTCATATTGCACTCGCCACAGCTTCATCGGGTGTTGCGGCTAATAACATGCCTGGGGGGAGAACAGCTCACTCGCGTTTCAAACTTCCTCTAACTCCAGATAATAACTCATTCTGTAGAATCCAAAAACAAAGCGGTACCGCTCAACTACTTCGGCTTGCAAAAATAATCATATGGGATGAGGCATCGATGGCAAAGCGACAGGTGGTGGAGGCGTTTGATCGGACAATGCAAGATATCACTGGGGTGGCACTCCCTTTTGGTGGAAAGATAATGGTTCTGGGAGGCGATTTTAGACAAGTATTGCCAGTCGTAAGACGTGGGACACGAGCACAAATTGTAGACTCTAGCCTACGAATGTCGCCTCTTTGGTCTTCGATTATAAAGTTGCGGTTAACAATAAATATGAGAGCACTTACTGATCCATGGTTCTCAAACTTTCTATTACGGGTTGGTGATGGAGTTGAAGAAACAGTGGACGGAAGTTTTATTCGCATCCCTGATGATATGGTCATTCCATACACTGATAAAGAAAAATCATTAGATTCTTTGATTGATGCAGTGTTTCCCTCATTGGAATTTAATAGGTCTGAATCAGATTATATCATATCGCGGGCAATATTATCTACAAAAAATGATAGTGTCGATGCGATTAACGATTACATGATCGATCGATTTCAAGGAGAAGAGAGAATTTACTATAGTGTCGATGAAGCCATAGATGATAAAAATGGCTTCTATCCGTTGGAATTCTTAAACTCGATCAGTGTTAGTGGTTTACCTCCGCATTACCTTCGATTAAAAGTTGGATGTCCGATAATACTGTTACGGAATATTGACCCAGCAAATGGGTTGTGTAATGGCACCCGATTGATATGTAGAAGCTTTCAGCAAAATGTTATTGATGCAGAAATAGCTGTTGGTCAACATGCAGGAACAAGGATATTTTTTGCCTAAGATTCCTTTATGTCCATCTGATGATGATATGTTCCCATTCAAGCTAAAGAGGAAACAGTTTCCTATTCGATTGTGCTTTGCAATGACAATCAATAAAGCTCAGGGACAAACAATTCCATATGTAGGTATCTATCTTCCAGAACCAGTATTCTCGCATGGACAACTTTATGTTGCATTGTCCAGAGGGGTTTCACGTTGCAATACAAAAGTATTAGTACAGCCTAACGAAAATTCAAAAGGTGATGGGGTTTATACAGCAAATGTGGTGTATAAAGAAGTATTGCACGATTAATATTTTGTGTCGTCTTGACTGGTTGCTTTTTATTGGTTATTTGATGCATGATGTAACAAATAACACCATAGTTTGATTATATTGTCTTCAACATGTACTTTTTTTTAACATAACAATTTTGTAATGGAAACATATCACCGAAAGAACTCACGTGCCCCGCCGCTTTGCGCGGGTAGACGGCTAGTATATATATATATATATATATATATATATATATATATATATATATAATATATATATTATATATATTACACACACACACGTTAAAAGCTTTTGTGAGAAAAATATAAAATTTTTGTAGTAATTATGAAAAAAATAGTTGATCCGTCGTTACTTTCTATTTTGTAATTATTCCTATTTCTTCCGTGACAAAAAAAAAAAAAAAAAAAAAAAAATTAAAAGTTAAAAATCATTTAGCACATAATTTATAGTAGTATCTAACATGAATACGCGATACAAATTTCTTTGTATTTTTTGTACTCTTTTGACTTGCATCCGTTTTGATAAAACAATATATTTTTTAAACTATTATAAGCATTTAGATTTGGCATTATATATACAATGCTAATAATGATTATTATCGTTCTTAGTTTGATCGATCCCCATTATTGTCCCGTATTATGATCAAATATACATCATGTAACTAGGTGGCTAACATAAGGGTCCAATGTCCATAAGAAATCTCGATCTCCATTGAAATTAAAACTCCATTGTTGTGGTTTCCAACTCACTTTTTTACAAATATGTCACATTGACACCATCCGAGTTATATTTTGATTATTGAGAAAAAAAAAAAAAAAAAAAAAAAACTTAGTGGGTTGATTTGGACGATGAATGTTATGGAGAAGGATGAAGGAATGGTTTGTTTTTTGTTTTCATAGAAAAAAAAAAAAAAAAGAGTTGGAGTTGGTGAGATGAATCAAACCATGAGTATGAGTAAAGACATAACAATTTAGCAGTAAAGTTTGGTTTGAATATATCTTCCACTACTCTTCATTTGGTATGTTTGGTAAAGAAATTAAACCCCCAAGAAACCAAACAAAACCCTTTTAAGATTTATCCCAAAACAACACCATCTCAATGTGTCTTCATCATCACAATTCTCCCTAAAATGGAACATCTCATTCGCACTAGAGATCTTCTCAAAACCACCATACACCAATCCACCCAACTAGACCTCCAAATCCACCAAACCACCACCAATCTCTCCCGTATCAATTCTTCCAAATCCCACATCACAAACATCCCCTCTCTCTCCTCCCTCCACCACCACCTCCACCGTGCACTTCCACCCGTTTCCGCCGTCTTCCAAGTCTACCAGGTGGTGGAGGAGCTCGGGGGTTTACTCTCAGACCACCACCCATCCCCCGACCTCCACCACCACCTCTCTCTCCTCAAAAGATTCAGCCAAGCCCTCACTCTTCTCACCAACACCTGCAACTTAGCCATCCTATGGGTGGAAGACATCGACACCACCATTGTTGACACCCTCTACCACTCCAATGTCTCTAAAACTCTCCATATACTTAAAGAGTTGCAAAGGTTTGAAGAACGTTCTCTTCTCAAACACGGAATTCTAAACGTTGCTTTTGAGAATTTAAAACATGAATTCACAAATCTTTTAATCGAAAACAGTTTCCCTCTTCAAGTTCCTTCGTCTCTTTTCTCATCTGGTGATGATGAAAGTGATGTGTTTGATCCTTTACCAGAAGCTTTACCTTTCCCCATTGTCAAAAACCTACAAGATATCGTTGCATGCTTTTCATGCAACAATCTTGTGGACCAATGCATTCATGTTTATATCAAGATCAGGGGCACAATTGTCCATAGAAGTTTAGAAGGTCTTGATTTGGATTATTTGGAGATTACATTAACAGAATTTCATAGCGTCCAAGAAGTAGAAGGTTATATAGACGAATGGGGGAGACATTTGGAGTTTGTAGTTAAGCATCTTCTTGAACTTGAGTACACACTCTGTGAACACGTGTTTAGTAAGAGCATTGAAGTCAACGTGTGGAAATATTGCTTTTCCAAAATCGCCCTCCAATCGGGAATACAGAGTTTTATCAAATTCGCGAACACAGTTACAAAGTGTAAGAAAGAAGCAATCAAACTTTTCAAGCTCCTAGACATCTTTACCACTCTCAACAATCTCAGACAAGATTTCAACAGAATTTTTGGTGGAAAGCTATGTTCAGAAATTCAAAGTCAAACAAGGGGATTACTCAAGAATGTGGTCAATGGTGCATGTGAAATTTTTCAAGACCTTAAAGCACAAGTTGAGCTACAAAGACTAAACGACCCTCCACCAGATGGGACAATTCCAAAATTGGTTATCTTTGTAACAGAATATGCTAACGAGTTGTTAGATGATGAATACAAACATGAACTTGAACAAGTTCTAAAGATCCACTCCAGTTGGCATAATGAAAGTAAGTTCACAAAGGGAATTGTTTCACTTGAAATTCAAAACATAGTGAAATCACTAGAACTTAACTTGGAGACATGGGCAAAAAGATATGAAGATGCTTCTTTATCTTATATTTTCTTGATGAACACCAATTGCTACTTGAGAAAACATCTAAAGGCTACAAAGCTCGGGGATCTAATGGGGGAATCTTGGATAAAACAACATGAAGCTCATGTAGAATACTACATGTCACTTTACTTGAAAGAAAGTTGGGGGAGAATTCCAGCTTTATTAAGCAACAATGACAGAAACAAAATGAAAGGATTCAATGATACATTTGATCAAGTATTTAGAAAACAATCTGAATGGGTGTTGTGTGATAGAGATTTGAGATGGAAAACTTGCCAGATGATCATGGAAGTTGTAGTCCCTGTTTACAAGACCTTAGTGGAAAGTGGGGCTACTGCTACTCATAGTCCTAATAGTAATAAGTATTTAAAATATAGTGATGAGAAAATAGAGAATATGTTGACTTCCATGTTTAGGTCAAAGTTAGATAAGTATGGTTCTAGTGCCAAGTGTACAAGCTTGATGGGGAAGATCAAGAATGTTGTTACAGGTCATTTCTCACCAACAAATGCTGCAGCTTGATCTTCCATGGCTTCTTTCCTAACATAATCATGTACAAATTTGCTATTTGTGTATATGTATATAAAACAGATTGTATTTTCCTTATTGATTAATCAAAATATAACTCATCTTACAAAATGGTATGCTCAAAATCAGGAAACTTGTAATCATTGTACCTTGGAGGCTATTTTCTTCAACTGTTTTACTTTCTCAAATTCTAGGGTATGGTAGTTTTTTTCTACTTCCCATGCTGTCTGGGACATACCATTAAAAGACGATTTTGCCCCTTTCTCATCTGTGACTTCTCTAGGGAAAGGAATCCGGACCTCAAAGACATCATTTTGGGGAGAATACAGATGTATGTCAAACCCTAATCGATCAACCCATACCATCTTTGCTTCTGACACCTGAACAACCAAAACATATGCAAATTCAGAGCATATCATAAAGAACAAGGTAATTTTATGACATATTCTGACACCTGTACATCTGAATCCACAAAGACATTGCAAAACCGGAGAACATCTTCCATGTTATTTGTGTTTATCTCATGAACTAGACGCTCAGCAGAATCTTTAAGTGGATCAGCATTTGCAAGTCCATAATCTGAAGAAGAAACCCATGCACCATCCTGCATTTGTTGTCTTTGAATATCAGATTATCATGAAATTAAGTAATTTATATGTACAAGTTACCAAATTACACACCTCCATGAAGTTGTCCATTTGCAGTACACGTTGCACATCAAGGATATGGATGAATTCATTGTCTGCTTTTTCTCCAAATCTCTTTGCCCATAGTGACTTAATCTTCTGTCAAAAAAATAGAAGCTTGAAATGTCAATGAGAATATTAAGATTCGTAAATAGAATTGCACACAGAAGTGTGATATTAATGGAGCCTAATACAAGAAGTACCTTCAAGAGAATTTCATCGTCAGGTCTGTGAAGGCTACCTTGGATGGTGCACTGTGTTGTTCGCAGACCAGATTGCTCTAACTTATTAAGCAGAAGTACATAATCAGTCATAGAAAACATAAATCGTGCGACAAGAAGCAAAATGGATGTAGGTTGAAAAACAATCAAAGATTTTGGCAAATACCTGAACATTAAGGGAGGACCTTTTGTCGTTAGCGAAATGGTGATGAGAAGCACTTAAGCAAACAATTGGTGTGCCTTCTGGGTCAACGGCGAAGCGAACACCAACAGCAAGAGGCCAATTGTCTTGGGCCGTAGTTGAGAAGGTGCCAACAGAGGATAACTCCATGATTGTTCTTGAAATTTCAGCTGGGGAGGGTTTATTACTCTTGGTGGTGGCATTTGATTGTAAATGGGTTTGCTCGGGCGCCAGAGAAACCGAACATCTCAAAGGCTGGAGAAGTAAGGACTTGGGAGGATCGAAGCGAGGTTTGTAGTTAAAGATGGGTTTGGAATGAGAAATTGGAAGTTTTGGGGAGAAGATAGATGGGAGAGGTGAAGTCATGGATTGGGTATGTGGAAGCATTTTGAATTTTGATCGAATGAATGAATGAATTGGGTGTTTTCAGAAGATCGACGGGGTGGGAGTGACTGTAATAAGAAAGAATTCTGGATGATGATGTTGATAATGAAGTCGATTTGGAACGAAAATCCTTGATGTTGTCCTGGTCTAGGTCACCAAAAGGTGAAAGGCAGCATCGAAACGACAAACAAAGAAAATTATAAAGTAAATTACATGAATGGTCCCTGTTGTTTGATCTAATTTATATGTTTGGTTTTTAATATTTTTTAACTCGGACAATACCTTACATTTTATTTTGTTATATATTTGGTCCTTACTATACATAAAAAATACATTTTTACCCTTTTTTTATTTCTTTTTAATGTTTTTAACCATTATTTTTGTTATTGTAATTATATGAAGTAAATGAGACCACCACCATTGTTACCGACGATGCCATCCCCCTCGGCATCGGCATCGTCATCATTATCATAATCTCTGACAGACATGACAATTATCGTATCCGGCACCCACCATAAAATCTTCTAGCCATGGTGATTACTTCTTCAATTTACATAGGAATATAGGATAAACCTAATGAACCTAAGATACAAAGGCCCAAATCGAACTTGAGTTAAAAAACGCAAGAGCAAGCAAAGAATTCATTAAGAAGTATCTATCATAAATACAAGCATAAGCATACATGAAACAACTGAACATAAAATAAATGAATACATACCAGTAACGACGTCAGACGCCGCCCTGGCCTCCTTTGTTGTGAGATGGAAAGCACGACCCCTAGCCGTTAGGGTCTCAGCTCTCCGCTAGTGTCTGTCAGTAATCCTCACAGTAGCCGATATTGGTGCCTACACTGGTTTGGCGGCGAGCAAGAGACAATTGAACTTTACATGGTCAACGTGATCACAGTGGTAACAAATCCTGGTACTCGATAACGGAGCCTGTTGACGACAATCCCTCGCGGAATGCGCCTCTTTGCCAGATTTGTGGCACCCAGTAGCCGATCGGCATGCTCCCTCATGCATCTTCCCACACTTGCCACAAGTGCAGTCCCTCTATCCTCTGGATTATGAATCAGCGGGGTTAAACTGCTTCGTTGTTGGTTGTGACTGAACAGGGGCCTGTCTCTTCTCTCGCATATGGGTCTCAATCTCAATCTCCGTCCTTCAAGTGAGGGACTGCAACTTGGAGATGGAACCATACCTCTGGGTTGACACTAGCTCATGGATCTCCATCTTAAACATGCTCAAGTAACGGGACATCTAAACTTGCTCTGAAACAACATACTTAGGGCATAAAAAGGCTCTTTATGTAAACATTTTGGTGATCTACGTTACCGACTCTATTGTCTTCTTCAACGACAAAAACTCATGGGTTAACCTCTCCCTCTCCACCAGTAGAACATACTCAGTACGAAACATTTCCATAAATTTCTCTCATGTATGCGCAGCCTTCTCCGCATGAGAATAAGCATTGGTCACCAGCTTCCACCAGTCCTTCGCCCCCAAAAGAAGAAGGTTCAAGACAAACTTGACCTTCTGGTCCTCTATACATGAGCAGTTGAAGAAACAATCCTCCACATAAGATAGCCACCTCATGGAAATGATCGGATCCTTGACCCTGTCGAACTTTGGGGATCATATTGCTAAAGTCTCGATACGACACCGTCCCTCTCCCCTGGAGGCCTGCAACAACAACAACTACAGTGGCTACGGTAGCAACAACCTCTATGACGATAGCATAATGATCGTCAAACATCTCGTTCATGGCAATCTTAATAGACTCAAATACATTCGGGATCGCCTCCCTAACAACCATGGTCACATGGGTGGTGATCATATCGCGAATCTCATCATCAGACAAACCTGACCTCTCTAGGCCGCCAACCTGATCCAAAACCTCTAATGATTTCCATACTGAAAAACAAACCAAAATACATCAGAAAATCCACATTCATGTTATTTCATCATCAAGGGTGAGGGAAAATGCAGATTACAATGACAATGCTCTAAGCGGAAAAACATTTAACAATTAAATGATTTGGGCACATGCAACCTAGAGGGATCTATGTCTTTCACATAAAGGCAACATACTATAAATTATCAATCTACAATAACCCTAATGAAATCAAATATCATAAAGGAAGATTACATACCTTTTGATTTATTATAGTAAACAAATCTAAAACCCTTCTTCAAAGCTTTTGGAAGCAAGCACCATAAATGTCGTGCCTATGATGGTTCACACACAACCTTAGCAACTAGGAGATTTGAAGAGAGAGAGAGAGAGAGAGAGAGAGAGAGAGAGAGAAAGAAAGAGAGAGAGATAAAGAGAGGGGGGAGAGGGAATATCAAAATTTTGGCCTTTTCTTATGAGAATGGAATGACCGAAAACTATAGTTCATAGTCTATTTATACTATAATTAGGAAACACTAGATAGCCTTAATTTGAACAAAAATAATATTATTTCAAATTGGTAATTATCCAACTTCCTATTTATCTGCAATGAATATTCTAGATGCCTTGTAATACCCTAGAAACCATCCACCCCTTCCAAGGAAGGTTTTGGAACCTCTTGCTCAACTATTGTACCATAACAATTAGACCAATGCACTTTTAATTAATCCAATTGATTTAATTAATTTCTGATTAATTCTTAATTAAATATTATTATTTCTAATTAATATATTATTTTCATAACATATTAATAAATTTATTTATTTCTATTTATTGATCATATTATAAATCAATAAATCAGTCTCTCTCTCTCTCTCTCTCTCTCTCTCTCAAATTCATCCTATTTAATTACTAGGTTTGAGGGCAACCCAAAAGGACTTTGCTAATAATTCAAGATTATACTAATTTAGTTATTAGCTTAGACACCTAATCCAACAGTCTCCCACTTGGATAAGTCTAAAATAAATTGCTGATATAACTTTTAAATTAACCAGCAAAGAGTGATTCCATAGCAACTGTCGAACTCTGAACTAAACAGACATTGGTCCAAAGATAAGTGATCAAATATTCCTCCGTTCTTCTAGATGTCATATGGACATGAGACATGGATTAGAATAAATCTCATTGTCCAAAATTTTGTGTCCCGGTTTCCTAATTTTTGATGATGTCATAAGACTTCTAATTAAACACATCAATTTAGTCATGGTTGGGTCCAACACTATAAGTCAACACCAAATCACCGAGGGGCCTACAAATATCGATTTTCCCGTTAAGGCAAAAGGAATGAATAAACTTTGATTCATATGTTTGTATCTTTCACTCACCAAATCGCACATAACACTACATTTTATAACATCTTCTTACTGATGTGTTTTCACAATATCACTGCATAACCGACTTGTAAATTACAACGCATATATCTTCTTTTGTCATCATCTCTTCTCTTGTTTGGACCATTGTAAGTATCAGGACTCAATCTTCATTCCATTTCTTTGCTATATCTAGGTTTTTGGTCACATTTCCTTATGTTACAACTTGTTGCAGTGAAGAAGTGTAACACCGTAAATT